TTGTTCACAAAAAACAATTTTGCTTAAGAATGATGTGTAATTAATAATGTCCAATCGAAAAGGCAAACTTGATGTCTCATAGATAGCATAGCTGATACAGATAAAACGTAATGATACGATCTGAAAGTGGTATGCATACATAAATCATTTTTTTCAAATTCAAAAACTTTCAAAGTTGTGCAAGAAAAAATCCATCATGCACCTAAAACCAGCAACATCGTGTTATATAAATAATACATCAACGCTTCCACCTAAAAACAGCCACCCGCACGGTTTTCTGAATAAAAAACTCGACAAATATAATAATAAAAACAGTAGTAACAATAACAACAATTAAAACGTAATAAGACGCATCCGTTCAGGGGAGAATGCGGGGTGCGACCGGCACAAACCGGATGCTGTTGGTACAGTCGAGCTGCTCGAGTATTTATATATTAAAAACAATATATTATATACTTCAATTATTCCAATAGTATTGAGATATATCATTATAATGTGTAGTCTATTATAATGATTTATCGATATCCTACGTTATAAATGATTAGTCTCGGGTTTTAGATTAATGAATGGTAATAACATATTGTTGTTGTTGTGGTTGGGCGTTTTGGTTTCTACGAGGGGTAGGTCGAGATAATATTATACGTGCGACGCACTATTTTATTCAAAAACCGTACACATTTTCATTCCCTCTTTCGGCTTTCAACTTCTGTCAAGATCTCGTTGAACTTATAATAATATTATAAAAAGTAATTTCATTTGTTAATATTGTATTCGCCAGCACTATGCAAGGGTATAAATCACCAACAAAAAATGACGTCATCTCAACGTTATAAAAAAAAAAAACATTGTACACTGTAAACTCTTAAACGTTTTACACTTTTTTAATTATCATTTATTTTATTTGACATTATCATGTATTCATGTTAACAACAATTAACGCGATGTCGTACAACAATAGTAATTGTAATAATATGTATCTAAATAATTTTTTTACGAGTACCCATTATCACATTCTTTTCTCAACCAAAATAATAATATTGTGCTATGCTACTCGTGGTAGCTGTATAGGAGGTAACAACAATTGTTGAGGTGGAAAATGGGAGTATAATATTATTTGCGGAAACAAATCGTATAATACAGTCTCAAGAATAGTAACTGCCATAACTGTCTATTATTTATACGGTTGTGTTATTTGTTTATTTTTCGTCCTCCTCGTCCTGTCGCAGCTCCTCCTACACGCTGGGATCGTCCTTACATATTATTATTATTGTTATTGCCGTTGCCATTTCTCTCGACCTTCCGTCTTGCAACAATAGTCAATACACACCCTTTTCTTTGTTTGTTTATATTTTGTTTATTTATTAATGTTTATTTGTTTTTCTATGTCTGCGAGCGTAATATCCAAGTGTGTTATGTGTTATGATTTACAGAGCAAACCGCAAAGGTGGCCGTCATCAACGCGGCGGCGACCGTTAACCGATTGGCCGTGCGCGATTGTATTGTCGCCTTGTCGGCATTGAGCTTAGCTGCTTCCTTTGGAGGCAACCGCTGGTGGTTACGCTAAAAAATTCGTGCGAAAAGTATTTAGCATAATATAATTATTATTATGATGATCATTATTATTAATTTTTCCCGTACGACTTACAGTCGCCATGTTTTATTTTTTTTTTGACAATTATTATTATTCCTCGTAATTAATAAATAATTATAATACTGTATTCACCTCTCTATATACCACTACGCGTAGGCAGTCATGTATCGCGAACAATAGTAATATTATTAACTCTTTTTTTCTTGCCAAAAAAATATTATTAGCTTGAAATAATAATAATACATAAATTATAATATCATTATTATATGACTGCTAAAATCGAAACGTTTAATTACGGTTAGTGTGTAATAATATTGTATATATATGCTTTAAGTGCACAGCCTACGCAGCTGCTGCACTTGGTAAGGTATATATGTATATGGTATTATATATTATTATTGTTTAGATTTTTAAGCCTTGTACTTGTCTAATATTATATTTTATAATTGTTGTGATAAAATCATATAAATGTTTGTAATGTATATGTGTGTATGAACGACTTCGAATCTCTGGACGATATATTATCATAATATACTTAGGTGTTGTACTCTGCAGTCTGTCTCTCTATAAAGATTCGTTTCCTACGGCGACATTTTTGTTTTCGATTTTTATGCAGACGAGAGTGGGTCATCTCTTGTATAATAATAATTCGTCTCTATGTCAAAATATATTACTGCCCAGTATCGCATTTTCGGTATCACCGCACTAGCTGATGGCGACCATAGCATCGCGTTTAAATATTCGATAATTTCGTTCTATTGATTCGCATCCACGCGCAGTTCGATGGGCGATTACTCGCATGTTTAGCATATATACTAGAGAAATGATATTAAAATTATTAACTGCAGTTTACCATTACGGTACGACGAAATCGGCAATCGCGTACAATTATATTATTCGCTAATTATACATCACTTGTCTGGACGATTGTGAATTTTAACGAGTACTCGTACATGGTATGTGATTAAACCCTGTTAGTAGGAAAATCTATTTGATCGTCAAAAACACCCCGTCGATATTTGTTTACGCCAATCCTAATAATATTATATTATCGTTTCCCTGATACCTGGTGTCGAACTGTTTTCCGACCTTATAGCCGGGGTATTATATTATATCATTTCTGACATAATATTATATAATATGTTTTCAAACCATACGTTTTCCCCGCATTACCGCCGTCCTAGTAATAATATATTAACAATATTACAAATTATATTAACACCATCGTACGTGTAAATAATATTATCCACTCTTCGTCGTTTATAAATACTTATAAAATATAATAGCAGTTTAGATTGAGAGACGAATAATATTATTATTCGTTTAAATATTACCTACCATAATGTACCTAATAATATTATATAGTGTATGTATAGCGAGTAGAAGTCATACATATTATATAATATAAACTATATTTTTATTTTATAATTTTTTTTTTTCAATATAGGATAAAAAACAAGTCTTAAGAGTTAAGTTTTACTCACTTTTTTTTTTAATAGTCGCCTGTTTTAGTTAATCGATTTAGATATTATGATATTATATTATTATTCTGTATAATTTGTCACCGATTTTATTAATGTACCTACCATTATTGATATTATGATAACTATTATTATTATACATTATAATATGATGAAAAGTGTATACAAAAACCATTCACTGATTATGTTTTAGAGTCTCATTAAGTAACTATATATTGTATAATAAAATAATGACATTTTGTTGTAAATGCATTTAGAGATCTATATTATAATTACATAATTTTTATTAAAAAACAAACTACGTATATAATATAATATATAATGATGTAATAAGACAATAATAAACGAATAATTTTTTTTTTTTAATATAAACGAATTGTTGTATACGTTTGTCGCCTTGTGATGGTTGTCCCAGAACAACCACCCCTTAAGAATATTATAATATAATATTATGTACCTACTGCGATCAATGCTTGATTATTTTGATTTATTTTTATTACTGTACAATTATAAAGGGGTGGTTATTTTATCGCCGAACAGTCGCATTATTCCTCGGGTTAACCCTGAACCGGGCACATGCCGAGTTTGCGGGGTATGAGTTGTAGGTTAGGTTGGTTTGGTTTAGCTATGAGGGTCGTGTGTTGAGGGATATCGATCGTTCTGCGATAAAAAAAAAAAAATACCCTCCTGTACGTACTCACCTGTATAATATATTATATTATAATATTAACAATGGTGCAGCGACAACGACTGCAACTACACAGCAGCGACATCGCAACGACAAGAAAAATAATAATAATATAGTGTTTTTTAAAACACGTCGATGACGTCGTGTCGAAGAGGTAAGAGCATGACGCTTTTACGAATTCAATATAAAGTGCACGGTATTCTTCTATATTATTATTATTATATTAATATATCTTTTGGTGCTTCTTCGCACCCCCACACAGCCCGTGCCAGCGACGAAATCCGATAGCCGACGACCCAGGGCCGCCGTATACATATTATTATTATTATTATTATTATTATTATGATAATAATAATAATATTATATCGGATGACAATGATTTCGGATTCGTCGCGTAGGTACCTACATCATCACTGCAGACGATGTACGTAATGTATACGACGCACGCATACCTACCCGTATATACCAGCAGCTATATTATTATTAGTATACATCTTGTTTCCTTGGCTTTTTGCACTAACGCTTCTTCGGTCTTTTACCATTTAGTTTTTATTAATTTTTTATTTTATTTTATGCGTTCTTTTACACAGCTTCGCGTACCAGACGACAACAATAATTATTATAATATACGTAACCCTAAATCCGGGGTGACATGGTCTCCACGTCTTCCGGTGAACGAGATAACTGTTGAGACGATGCGGGAAAACATTAAAACAATAACAAACGTCTCGTCCCAGCGTATTATACGTCTTCGTATATTAGTGTTGTTGTCGTTATACGCGTTGCAGCATGTCTAAATGTGTATACAATTATTATAATATAGCATTTATGTGTGAGTGTGTGTTTGTATGTGTGTGTATGTGTGTGTGTATGCCTGTGTATGTGTACTTACCTGTGAACGACACCAATCACAAAATTACGAAAACTCGTTATTAATTATATGATATTATGATTTGCGGCTAACTCTGTTTTTTTTTCCACTTAAGACAATAATTATAAATTATTATAATATAGTGCATAATATTATCATAATAATATTGTAAGAACTGCATCTCGTCGAATGCGCCTTTTTTTTGCGCGGCGCACGCGCATATAATAACCATATAAATGATATTAATCATTAAGTCCGGACGCATTAAGCTCGACGAAAATACAATTATGTGACGTTAAAAATATCATATTATTATTGTTATTATTGTTTATTAAACATGCGATGATGATTTACCGTGTTCGTTTTCAGGAGTGGACATACCTCCCGTCCAACCGGCGTACAATAATCGGCTCAGCTCGGCGGTCATAATCAGCATCGTCTTGGCCGTCCTGTTCACCGTGTTGGTGGTCATCGACGTGTCGTGTTACTTCGCCAACAACACTGGTAAGTCAGTCGGACCGACGGTAACCACTAACCACATTATATTATTATCTCGTATTTGAAGGGGTGACCGTCCCGGTAGATCGACCGGATACATTTCATAACCGCCCCTCGGAAAAAAAAAACAAAAAAATAATCCTTCTGGTTTTTGGATTTCACACTATTATCCTTGTTATAATATAATAAATATAATATAATACTTTCTCTTTACTTAAATACTTAAATTATCCGACGATATTGGTTGCGAATAGTCTTATAACTTAACCCGAACGTCCTAAACATATTAAAGAAAAAGTATGTCAGAACGAGAGTATTAAAGCATAGAATAAAATAAACGATTTGTCAAAATGTAATAAAACTGTTTTATTTTATAAAAAAAATGCAATAATTTCATCTTAAATACTGTAATAACTTAAAACTTAAAATTGATATTAAGTCAAGCCCAAATTATAGTGTTTGCTACAATATTTCTGTAACAATCTCAAAACTTATTAAGGTTCCGTATCCGATATCACACATTATTAAATTGGTCTTTGGCTTAGCCTTAATTTCTGAAAGAAGTAAAATAAAAAACAAAAAATTGAATAGGTACTAGAGGTAAATTTTATAATTTATAAATTACCCGGTTTACTTAATATCAAACGCTGATTTTAATATACTTCAAATAAAACAACATTATTTTAATGTAACATAATAATGTTATCAAACAATAAATTTGCAACAAAAAGATTCAGGTATTGCTGTATAGAATCTATTATTACTTTCGTTGTTTAGGGAGTATTACTTTATTTCTGGATATCATTTTTGTTTTTTTTTTACGGAATCATGTTATGTTGTCATACTTATCATAAATTTCAACTTATTTCAAATTAGGTTGTGTGTATGTTTATTTTAAACCACCTTCAAAGCACCATATAATTTTACAAAACCTCACGCGTTTAACACAAATAATAAAAACTAATAAGGTATAACATAATATACAGATTTAGGTATGAGGTAACCTTTTTCCTACATCACATCGGAATGTAGTATATTATAGTGATGGGATTACCTACGAATTTTCTAATAATTTTATATTAAATGACACGTACGGTTTATCCACTGAACGAAATTTCAGAAAACGAATATGGTCGGTCGCGTCAAAATATTATCGATAGTCAGCTTTTAAGTGTTGTATTATATTAGATTATTAAAGGTAGCTTATATTATTATGGCTACCGAATTAGTGTTGCATCTCCTATTAACCTTAATATGGTGTGAAATACAATAAATTGTACTCTAATAGTCTGATGCATACCCTAGAATTTTTTATTTAAATTTACATATATTTTTGTATACGTCGTTTTAACATCATGACACGCCAGAATGTTATTTATATTTTCAGTATGTTAAAGTATTTTCGCAATAAAGACACAAACGCCGCATATATGTTCAACTCGTATATTATTTACATTAAATTAAGACGACGTAGTGTAATACGCTTCGTCGTCGACATATATTACTATAATTTGATAACATTATTATTATATGTAATAACGTGTCGTTGTGATTTGTTTTTGTTTTTCATTTCACGCGTACTCCACAGGTATCTTGTACATACTTTTCGGCATGTGTTGTCGGAAGAAGAAGAGAGACGAGGACGCAAAGCTCGGAAGGTATGATTTTTTATTTTATTTTACATTTTTTCGGGTACTTATATACAAACACATATAATAATCACTTATTTGCTGGTAACACTAATCCACCGGGATATCCTGACATTGTACGAGTCCCATTCGTGCGTATAGCTATAACATAATCATATCATACCATACCATACCATACCATATCATACCATACCATATAATACATGTACATTTTATGCACTCGGGTGTGCGCACTGCAGTCATCTCCTCTGTCTAATCATTATGCATCCCGACCGAGGCAGCAAGATGAACAACGCTTACACGCCGCGGTTAATACCAACTGGTTACACATAAAGTGGTATATTATTATATTAGGTAAACCGTTACCGTGCCTAGATGCGGGTTCTTTTAATAATAAAAATATATGAAACGTCGTTATTATAAATTAAAAATATACCGCAGAGTCTGATACTTAACAGTTACCAATAACCTATTAAAGTCACACGTTCCATCTTAAAAATGTTTGTTATTGCTATATTTCCTATATAAAATAGTAAACACGCTTTTTTTGTCAAAAGATATGCTAAAATATGTATGATAAAATAATCATAGAAATTACCAACAATTTCCGAACTGCCATCGAAAGAATGAGAAACGTATTCTAATTTTAAAACAGATGGAGTGAAAAAGATACCAGAAAGTTACTTTTTGGTTTTTATTCAAGCTGAATATGGTTTTCGATAGTCCAATTCTAAAATGAAATATAAATCTGTTGTACCTACCTGCCAATTTTATTTGGTTTAAAATGTATTTCATTCAAACGCAAAATCAATGGTTTAAAGGAATTGAATTTATCAGAATTTAATGATGAGACATCTCGCTAGGTCTAGATTGTGGAGGTAAGGGGGAAATTGAAGTAATTTTCAAAATTTCAAAACACAACACTATGTCTATATTATATAAGCTGTCAAAAATACTTTTCTTTTATATTTCGTATTACTTTTGATTAAATTTACCACAAAACGTATCCGCGTACGTACTTGTACCTATGTTTTGTGTTTATTGTTGAAATATGCAATTTCATTTATACCGTATTTTATTGATTTACCATAATAAGTCAAATACGTTTTATTCATCGCCAAGTTTATTTGCTCCGATTATTAGAATGCTCACCGCAGATAATTCAATTATAAGAAATATAGATTTTTTTACTTTATTTATTTATTTTTTGTTTACTCAAATCATTGTTTTATCTACAAATGGTTATAATAAAGTCACATGAGGCGGTATGTGGACATAACTAACGATAATATGTGAAACAGGTTGCTTACAAGGGACACTTAAAGAAAAGTACCAACGCAAATACTTCCTAGGTCTAAACATAGGTGATTTTTTTGACAGTTTATACATATATAATATTATAATATTGTACATCGTTTTATAATCTTCAAAATTTGTGACGGAGTACCTAATTTTATAAAAACTTTTAATCATCGATAACGCAAATAATATATTATTTCCTATTAATAATGAAGGTTTAAATAAACTCTACATTGACTGAAAATTATAGACACAACGACTCACCATTTATTCGCTCTTATTGTCTACACAGTTTAAATGTGTATTAATTAAAAAAAGTTGTATTCTTTTGATGATAATATTATCTATTACTATATTATCTACTACTACTATAATACCTACTTATAAATTTTATTTTTGTTTGAAAACCATTCACATTACCATGAAATCATAGATCAAAAGTTCAGATAGTTTAGATATTTTCTATATCACGTAATTTTTTTTTTTTAACTTGCCCTAAACAATTAAGTAGGTAGAGTAAGAGCTAGCAGTGTTAGCTGTTAAAAGAATCGCACAACATAAATACCAGTACACCACGTTCGTATACATTATATTTTATAGGTGTACGCCCACACTTACAATAATTTCTCGCGTAATTAATGTGTAAACAGCCTCTCCCCCTTTAGTAGTTGCACACTTGCTGAGGGTTGTTCCGAATCGCAACACAGTTGAGCAATAAAATAATATTTCAACAAATGTCTTAATTATTATTATATTATCGTGTTCATGTATTGCATTTATATTTACTACCCACGCAGTCGACAGGCGCATAAAGTCGGGGTAGGTACCTATATATATATACACAGAACGTATCCGAGGAGGAGGGTTTGACTGGTCTTTAACCAACAACAAGTTTAACGAGCTGTCGTTAAATCTATGAACTCAGTACACCCTATACACATTGAACTCGTACACGCATCGTATGACGTATTATTGTACAATGTATTTAAAATTTAAATGTTAATCGTTGTGGTTCAGAGTCGACGATCGAAAATATATATTATGCATGATATATGGCCTACATATTAGGGGATGAAATGTCCAGGGACCCATCTATAATAATATTATTATGTACTTATCGCCTACAGCATTATATTACCTATGGACCTATATTAACTAGGGTTGGTGAGCTGCTGACGCGTACTTATATGTAAAATTATTAATTTATGCGTGAACCCGATAATGATTACTAAACCTAACTTTTAAACTAATTAATTTGCAATTTTTTTCTCGTGGTAGAACACTTTACTTGCAATAATAGTGTGCAGTTAGAACTATTATATATAAATCAAGTAATTACCGTACTGTATACGAAAGTCAAAACTTCTCTCTTAAAATTCTCTCATTTTGAAATATCGTACACTGAAGCGTAATCACAGCAACCCAATAAGAGGAACTATAATCGTTCCAGGTAATGATTTCCTCGAAAACCCGATTGGATATCGATGATTTTTCAAATATAATTTTATTGACAAATGTATTAATCGCATTTAACTTTAATTACATTTACAATTACATTTAATATTTAAATATATCAAAATTATTTTATCTCTTGGCCGATACATTCTTATAGTTGTTCTGATATTACTCAATGGTCTTGGCTAATATCTTGTTATTCGGGTAATGTTTGACATTGACCAATATTCAATAATATTCCAATGTAGTATTGCAGCTAATGTCAATATCATCCAAAATTGTAGCATTTATGCGATATTTATGGCATGCAGTGCATTTTAATATTATAGGGATAGGGGTTGCAGTGCGGACGATATTTATTTTATGCACATAACTTTCATACGTTATTAAATTAATCCCTAAAGTGTGGGTTTATTTTATGGACGACAACGATCGGCATCGCCACCTCGAGTAAAAGTTTTCCGTTTGTTTCGTTTTAAAGTTGTGTTAGGTACCACCTATACATGTATAATAATGCAGTGCAAACGCGACCAAAGACGCGGAAGAATAATCGTACAGGAAAAAGTTTTTTCTCTCGTCTTTTTTTTCTCTCAACTCTTAATAATTTTAATTTTAAACGGTAAATTTAATACGCCTCGACGACGGTGACGATAATATAATTCGACGCCTTTTTTTCTTTTTATGTTTTAATATAATAACGTCGAAAGCGTCACACCTGCAGCTCACCCCGCTGCCCGCAAACGACGTTTTATTATTATTATTATTCATTTATTTAGTATAATATAATATATTATTATATTATATTATATAGTACGAGAGCACCTGTATGATGCGATAATACTATTAAATTATGATCATACGTTTATAATATTATTATTATGTGTTGGTACTCGTGCGATGTTCACCTGAATAGGAAGTACGTGTTTTGAGGGGCAGCCCCGACAGCCCTTTTTCTCATTCTTTAGTGCCATATCCCCCCCCCACGTGAACGAAGAGTGAACGCGTTTGATACTTTGATATGATACGAGTTTATATATATTTATATAAACGTGCGTGTACGTATACATATATATAATTTATATTACACAAATATTGTTTTCTATATTATTATCTCATAACGGCGTGAAAAATAATATTAAGGCACAACTTACTCGGGTGTCATATACATAATAATATAATAATATACCAGCAAGTGAGCGTTAAGATTATTTTGCTGTCTGCGGTTGGTGTGTGTGTGTGTGTGTGCGTGTGTGTCATCATCATTTCGCATTCATCATACGCATAATATAATATAATACAACGTCCGCGTCGTTATTCACACGATTCGCACACGTCAAACCTGACCCTTTTCACTGCAAAAAAAACCATCATCATTTTTATATTTTCAACCCCCCCGCAGCCCCGTCAAATATATTCGTGCGGTGTGTGCTTTTATGTTTATGTTTCGTGTATATAAATATATGTATGTGTGTGTTTTACTTAAATACTCACAATATTTAGTTTTATACGTCATTATATTATATTATATATTGAAGCGAAATAACACGTGCTGTCGACGAGGGGTTTTTCGATTTTTCAAAATGTTTATTGCTTATTTAATTTAACGTATACTTTAGACCTATACATATATACATATATAATATACTTATATATATAATATTGCTGTATAAAAAAATTTAATAATCACTGTTTTTTTAACGAAGCGACCACCGTATTATTTTTTGATTTCGAACTATTACTGCTTAAATATAATATTATGTCATATGGTGAAATATTTTTTACTGAAAGTTCGACATAAGTGCGTGTAGAAATATTATAAATATCGAAGTAATGTTTTCAGGTTCGTTATCGTTTAGAGTTTATATTATACAGAGACGATTTGACGTGTCCGAGAGGTGCCTCATCTCACAAGTCACAATACTTTATTGTACTTCGCTCATTTATATAAACTTTAAGCGCTTATTATAGAAATAATAGCTGTTTTAGTTCGAATTCAGTAAATTGAAGAAAATAAGTTGCACTGGCAAATATAACATTAGAATCACAGCTATTGATAAATTAAAAAAAAAAACCATACAAATTATTTATGAATGTACTTCAAATTAGATTAAAAAAACATTTTTTTTTTTCAAAAATATCGAATATTGACAGTGGCATAAATAAAATTAATTCTCAGGGGGAGTATTTATATATGAATAATATATAAGCTCTCAGCTCACTATACAGGGTTTTGAAATAATCTCTTTTCATGTTCGTTGTAAGTCGAATATTTTTTAAGAGGACTTACCTTCCCGCCCTTGTACCCACTATTTGAACCACTATAGGTTTTGAGTAAAAGGTATTAGCTTGAAAACGTGAAAAATAAAATCCGAGTGCAATCATCGTTGAGAGCAAGAAACGATCGTTGGCGTTTATTTGCCAATCAATAGTGTAACGACAAAAAAAATGAATAAAAAATAGTGCCAATATAAAAGACTGCCATTATAAATATCTAAAAAAAATGTGTACGATGACAGTATAATATAAAGACGTTAAGTATTATATTTTGTACATCGGACCGTCACAATACGTAGCAAGGTACTCCAGTACAGCCGGGTGTAGCTGGTGACGAAGGTTCTGAGAGTTCAAATAATAAAACAATGTGCCGAGGATTATCTAAATAAAAATGTAAAAAATCATAATAATACGTTGTTGTTTGCCCTTTAAAGCGACCGTTCCCTCTATATTTATATGTCGATATGTTTTCTGTCATTGTTAACACGCACGCATACACACATGATGATTGTTTTACCTCGAATCTGTTTGGCAATATCTTGGGAAATTCAAGAAACGTATTTTGCATACTTTTCAGAACACACAATTTTGTATTTTTTTTTTTTTTTATGAACAGAATTTATTTTGTTTTTAAAATTTAAATAATTTTTTCTTTTCTTTGATTTCTCGGTTTTTTCAATAAGCAGATTTTGGTCGCGCATAGTCGACATTTTCAGTGGCTTATAGTTGTAGTCAGCAACTTTTTCATGGGCGATAAAATAATGTTATTCGACCCAGGAAATTGTTGTTCAATGAAAATATTATGCCTTATATGTTAGCAAGAGAAACCCTCCAAGAGCATCTGATATAATAATATTATAATTTTCTTACTCTCGTAAGTACACGAAAAAGACCGCGTCATCATGTAAGGTTTATATAGCCATGACCTATCCATATAATTATCATAATTGGTGCATAATTTATGCCATTTATAATGATTGACAAGTTCTCGTCTTATATATTAATAAATTAATATTATAAACAATTATTATTGAATTGTGGAGTGGTTTCTCTAGTCCATAATCACTGCAAAATTAACCGAAGAAATACATATCGCATTCTGCAATGTCCCAAATTTTGTAGTTGAAATTGCACCCGATTAGCCTGTTAGCGTTAAAAGAATCATCCTATTTACCAATATAATTACTGTTTGTGTTGTACTATACAGCAAAACTTCCATTTAGCCATGACATTTTGTGTTTAATGAAGTACTTTTGAGAACTAAATTTATTTAAGAGCTATTTAACGAATTCCTCTATAATACGTTGTTGTTTTATTTTCGTTGTTGTCCACGAGACTTCGTAGTATGGAAGTTTCACTGTGTATGATTACCCTTAAGGCGACCCTGTATTTTAGTAAATTGGGATATCAATGCGAAAGCAGGCTTCTGCAGCATAATAGTAGTTACAAAAGGTGACGGTGATTCGTGTATAATATTATATGTTTGTGTGTGGTATTATGTGTTACTATATTGATAACTGAAAAACTGATTTTCCATAATATAATACATGATAATATTATGTATATAAATATAATATGTACTACAGTGAAACCTTTAAATAGCGTACACCCCCGAACAGTGGACCAAAATACCAACTGTGTTCGGTATTTAAAGGTTTCATTGTATAATATTGACATTATAATGTGTGTGCAATATGCATTAGGGTCTTGTTTTCTTAAAGGACTCATAATCATTTATACCTGCATTTTAACTTTCGGTTTCAAAAACTTGCCGTTGAAATAGTATTACACATTATTGAACATGACGTTATGGACGAATACCGGTGAAAGTGTGACCAAAGGACTTTAGTCAATACAATTTTTAATATATTTTAATGGTTTTAAATTAAAATTACATAATTTCACTTAGAGGTAAGGGATATTCGTGTAGGTACTCGTAGTCTGCACACGCCTATACTTGTGAGATTGTGTGTAAGTCGCTTGTGCGTGTATTTTATTTTTAAACTATATTATTAAATACGAGCATATACACAACTGCATTATAATATAAATATCATATTGTGGTACCTACCCATATACACCCTTTGTTTTCCATAATATAAATCCTTTGACCGTTAAGTCGTGTGTCCCGCTTATAAGTATAGGTACGTTAACAATAGTTAATGGTATGTGTGTTGTCCCCCCCCCTCGATAACAGCGAAAAAATTAATTGTTCTCATATTATAATGTATAGTGTTTAAAATCGTGAAATATTTATATTTTCTTAAGACAGTTAAGGAATCAATATATATAATTACCTTTTTTTTTAACCGATATTAGTAATTAGATAGGATATTACATTTTTTATAATATCTTTTGGATATATTTAGCCTTTCACTGGTATTACTGTAATATTAATTACTATAGTAGGTGTTAAGTATACCTACTTCAAACTCCTATAATAGGCTATTCATGAAAAATGTACCAATTAATTTTCACAGTAAAAAATGTAATATGTGTATCAGTTAAATACAGCTGGAAAATGAGATCAACACAATAATATTATTAGTTACTAAATTTATAATTTTTCTTGAAAATATTAAAAAAAAAAAAACAAACAAAAATGTATTTAAATTATGAAAATTTTAAATGCTATACGTACAAAACTATTATTATATTCTTACTCTTTGTATAAATTATACTAGAATATAATTATTTGCCATATTATATATTATAATATTTAAGAATGTCTTGCCGCAAGTTTGTACCCATCGTTAACCCAAGTTTTCTGATTAATATTTTTAAACATTTTTACCGAATCGAAGAGCTACGCGTATAATGTGTAATACATTATTATGTTTTCGTATGAGTGACTTCGTCCGCGTTAACTTACAAAATAAAAAAGCCTGTACAGTCGATTAAACGATGTTTTGCTATAACTATAAAGTTTAAGGTGCAATCTGAAAGCTGTTAGAAACTTAGAAAATAGGTTCGGTGGCGGTGACCTTGACGGTGAGACATTTTTTCATTGGATAATTTTATATTATATAATATTATAGTATATATCTGTATACTTACATGTTGTTAACTTTGTGGATATTTTCTCATTGAGTTTTTATTACCCGTGTTTATATTACCTGTTATTGTTATTGTTGTTGTTATTATTGTTATAATTTATTCAAATACCGAGGGCCGTTTTCAGTTTGTATGGTTGGCGTTTTCCGTTGCCGTATTGCAACAACAGCACGGGCGAATCGTCCAGTAACGGAAACGGTTCTTCTTACACTTCCGACGTAGAGAAAGTCCCCTTGCCAGATATGAACTTTGTGTTGTAAGAAACGTGTTGTCTGTTTAATTAATTAATATTTTTGTTATTATTTAATTGATTTGGTTTGGTCGCTTGTATTTACCGTAATATCAAAATCTTATTTACTAAATGCGTTCAATTCTGAATACCCTCTGTTTAATACTTACCTTATTACCTATCTGATATTACTATGATGTAGGTAATGTATAATAATATCAAATATTAGGTAATTACGCTGTTTCCTGGTTGTGGACAAATTAATAAAAACCATGCAAGTTACAAACACAAATATTTCCCTTTACCTTTTTCAAGACTCGGGATAAGCTACCTGCATCCTAGTTTAGCAGTATGAATCCGTTCTAAATTGATACCTCAGTACCCTACCTATAAATGTAATACACGGGAGATGTTCAAAATAAAATTGTCTTGGGAAAAAGCAGTCGTGAGCACAAAGTATGTGAACAATTTATAAATGAGAAACCTATAATAATACTTTATAATTAAAATTGCTGTGACAATCATTTTCGATATAGCCTGAATAAATTCATTTCTAGTATATTTATCACTCAGAAAATTGTCGATATATCAAATACGATATACAAACGATAAAATATTTTCTCTGCCCCAATTTTAGTATGCCCAAGTCGAAACCACCCTGCTCACCTCAGTTGTATCAAAAATAATGGTAAGAAATGACCCGACGAATTTTGTCCGCAACCTAGGAACTTTGCATCCTAATGTTGTATATTATTATGCCTACTCTTTTTCTTCCTTTCTCTCTGCCTCTCTCTCTTTCTCTTTTATCTTACTCCCGTTTGTTTTGCGTGTGCGCCTTGTTTATTTTTTATTATTTATTTTTATTTTAATTATTACAATAATTATATTGTACCTATTATACGAATTCTTCTATTTCGTATGCGTTGTGTGAGCGGTTTTAGTTTTTTTAATTCTGTTTTCGTTCGTCGTGCATTTACATATTATATTATAAGTATTTGCGCGATCGCAATGAAAACATTTTCTGCGTGTTTCGAAATTGATAAGCACCTATATAACTTGAACAATAAGCGACGTGATACGATAACGATGATATATATATATTTATATATAATAATAACACATGTTTGTAATATTATGTATTGTTGTATCGGTAACGTCGCATAAATCATATTGTAATATTATGCACCTCTCGTAGATCTCGCCGCTATGTAATAATATTGCTATATAACACTTATCGTCTATATTATTATACGCCTGCTGCAGCTACGCGCGTTTAACATAATATATAATAACAATAGTATAGTTTATAATATTATAATATATAATTGTATTATAATATAATGACGATATAAATTTGAATAATTTTATACACTTGACGCGATGCAAACGGCTTTGGTTTAACACCCTAATTATATTATATTGTAGAGCAGTTGGTATCTACCTACATACATACACTGCAGCGATGGATGCTCTTCAAAGGTCGCCGGTTCGTCATACACTTCGACCATCGTATATAATAATATCATTGTTATTATTATTTTTGTTATAATAACATACAAACGCGCCTTTATAACATATATAGTATTATAACAACACTGCTGTGTATGATAATAAAAACATAATATAAAATAAGCTTTTAAGCTGTTTTAGTATATTATATGTATATTTTATTATAATATACACTTAAGCCAATTACCTGTCTTCTACAGACTGACTCGCTTTAAACTAATTTTTTCCGCTTGTGCGATATTATGTAAAAAATGTTTGGTGTTTTTTTTTAAATTTTTTTTTCCAAACACATGCCAACGCGTATATACTTCCATTATGTATTGTATTTAAATTTTATATAATTTTACATACATGTACCATAAAAAAATGATATACATATTTTATTATGAGTTTATTCATAGGTATGTATACCGTGGTATACCACCACGCAGGTCGGCAGCGACGCGAACTTATGGGCGTTAGGTGAGAAATCCTTCGTTTATCCTTCGTAGTGATTTTTTTCCCTCTAAGACGTAGCTCACGAAAAAGTCACCTTATGTGAGTAATGGCGAGGTAACGGTGTTTTTATGCTTTCCAGTGGCCTTATATGGGAAAATGCGATGGCCAGCTTCCCCTTAGTGAATACAATTTATTTAAAACTTTACGATTGATAATTTCGACCATGGAATACGTACATGTACAGAGTGGTTGTTTCTATACATTTCCGCGGTGTTACAGCACAGAAAAACTCAGCGCAGTCTGATTTTTGGGGTTCAAACCACTTGATTTTTAAAAAGGAAAAACCCCGATAAATTCATTAAATCCAGGGTTAAAAGATTAACACATAACAATAATTAAAAATATTTATAAAAACACCTTTAAAAATTTTAGACTGCTGAAAATGAATAGCTTGAACAATCAAGTTCATATAATAAATAATTTAAAAGTTGTTGACTGCAAAAAAAAGTTATCAATATCCAATATTATTTGTAAGACTAGAAATTTTACCTAAAGGTTATAATTTCAATTTATTTGATTTTCGTTTTTTTTGATTGTATAAATATTGTTATATTTGATCATCTTATAAAACTCGCCCCGGTTGACTGTTGTGTTTTTTAAAAAACGGTTACCTATCTACCTAGCTATATAACTTAACTCTTAATTTTTTTGATCACTGTGAATATTTTTTAATTTTAAATTTGTTTAATGTGGGTTATACTTTTGTTTTCATATTGCGAACCAAGTGAATAGGAGAGGGGGTGCATTCATTAAATAAAATTAAAATAGTGAAACCAGTAAAAAAATCGCCGCAATATGAAAATTAATGGAAAAAAAAACCAATAAAATGTGTTTTTATGTTAAGAAGTGTACAAACCCAGCTAAGCACCCAGCACTAAAAAAAAATTATGATGTATAAAAACATTTTCGACTAGACTAATGAGTGACGTTAAAATAAACGCCCTGTACGCTGTACACAATTCTCGATTAAAACAACATAATTACAACGCATTATAATATTATATTATGTGGACGTATAATAGATATATGACGCGTATAAACATAGTGTAATTTGGGTTGTTGTGTTACAACTTGGGTTCACGAAGTCCGTTGTGAACATTTTTAATAATTATGTGCAACTCGTATAAAGGCGCGTCTAAAACAGGGGGAAAAAAGTTCGCGCCGCCGCGGCCGCCTGTAGTGGTAAATATACCTATATACAGTATATTGTTATTATATACAATACATATATATATATATATATATATTCATACATAGCACTTACATACGCGTCACGCATTGTATGTGTATATATTATATATATATATAATTATTTAATGATATACGATACCGTCTTGTGTAACGTGATGTAAACGATTTTTTGTTAAAAAAATATATTATTTAGTATTATAATAATATGTACGTGTTGTTTTTTAGCGAGGGCAAAGAACTGTTGACCAACGGCAACACTTACCAGAGCACCAATTTGCGCATCGAACCCACCGAAATGTAAGTATATAATATAACTAATATTAAAAACTGCGTTCAAAAATAAAATCAAAAACCTTACCCCCTCTCTGGGTGTCCAGACGGAAGCTTGTTATATTAGCTCAAGTTTACCCTCCCCGTGCTCGCCTCCTCCCCCCATCCGTTCAAATACACACTCTCACACCATATGGGGTCGTACTTCACGGCACTGCGGGGGTAGGTCATGGAGGACAGACCTCCCACAGACGTGTTTTCAGAACGAAATTAAGTTCGCGTGCCGTCATTAAATTGTTTTTGGTACAGCTTTCGTTTTATTGATTACAATTTAATAATTCAAATAAATTAGTCTGGGAGGTTTCCCGTTGCAAGCTTATTATGTAATATACTAATATCGATCGAATTCAAATGACATTGAACTTGTAAATTTTGAAAAATCTAAAATTAACCCCGACGTTTTATTTTTTATATGAAAGTCGAGTAAAACGTAGTTCGAATTTCATATTAATTCTTCGACCGGCCGCAGAAACTCATTTGAAACTCACGTTTTTCCCTCATTTCTACCTATTCCTACCTGTTTGATAAACATCGTGTTGTGCTCAGCACTTCCCACTAGTGCGTATGACCAGTGTCGGATTTGGCAAAGGTGCGATACACCGGTGTCTCAACGCTGAGTTTGTTTTAATAGGGCGGCCCTATTAGGGCCTGATGCTATAGATTTTCGAACATTATAAAGCGATACATTATTAAGAATATTAAATAATGGTTTAAAAAAATTACCCTCACCCATTTGTTTTAACTGTTATCGACTCAGTATTGTATCCTTATAATCTCAATGGCATAGAGATCATATAGAGATCTTGTTATGGACTCGATTTAAAGGAACACATGACCCATCATTCGATACCTATCTACTCAGTTAGTATGTAGTTCAAATGTTTTCTTTTCGAAGCCTATCTTCACTTTTCAATGAAATAATTAAAAATATATGTAATTAATGCATCAAAGCATAACGTTTTAAAAATAGCAACTTTTTTCGAGAGGCCTCCGGTATTAGGTATATAGGTAGTTTTACTGTAGTTACATCCCTAACTTCCGGGTCGTAGATCCGGCTCTGCGTAGGACGCAATAACGACTCTCGTGGCCGACGAATCGAACGCCTCCTCAGAAAATAAATAACAATAATAATGTAACAACAGAATTAAACCGTCCGGCTTTTGTCCGCATTTCGCAGGCTGAAAAAGGACACCGAAGTGGAGTACGACGTCAAACGGTCCGTGTCGCAGACCCGTTTCGTCGGCAAGGATTCGGCCGTCTAAAACCGGACGCGCACGAACCTAACCGATCGACGACGAAGATGACACGATTCTACACGCCGGCGACGTATTCTGCGTGAAATACGCACATTACGACGGCGGCGGTGTGCGCGGAGCGACGATTTCACGACTGAAAAATATATTTTAAAAAAACGAAATTCATAATTGATTACATTTTAATAATAATAACAATAATAATTTGATGAACGCTATAATAATATAATAATATTATCATGACGGTTGGGGTGTATAATAAATAATAATTATTGTACGCGAAACGATTCCGAGTTTGACCGACTGAGTTTCGCGCCGCTCTGGCATTTATTTTATGTAATTATTATTATTATTATTACCGTAGCGTTTTATACTACCTAGCAACTATATATAAGTATTATTATACTGCTACTATATAATATTTTTATTATCATTATTGCATTATATTATATACCTACATTATACTTTTATTATTATTACTATACAATGTTTACTATTACTATATAATATTATAATATTATTACCCACTACTGATAACATAATAACCGCTAGGTAGTACTACCCAGTGTAGCGCATTCGTGTCGTGTATCCCTCCATCCTTCCACCACGTTTTGTAGATAATATTTTCAATGTTTTATTTTTAAGTGTTTAGCGTTAAGGCTTTTTAATTTTTATCATTTCATTTTTTATACATTCTACACGTTGTACAATAACTATTGTGCGCCGTATATAATGTAACGATATTTCGAACGAATTTTCATCGATCAATAATCTTGCTCGTTGACTCGGGTCGAGAACTGTCTCAAAATAATAGACCATTTTAGTTTCGTATGATTCGATATAATAAAAATAGGACAAATTTTTGACAGCCCAAAAATAATTTTTTTAATACGCATTCGCAGCTACAAGTGCGTGATTTTAAACAGTTTTTTAATTAATAGAACTCCGTCAAATCTGACAACTATAATATGTAAGTGCGCCCAAAAAACGGTGTGGTTCATATTGGGTGGTACACTTTAATTTGAATTCGTTCGTTTTCCTCGGTCGAATCTCGGTTTAGAAATGAAAAAAACCATTATTATATTATATGCGTCTTTTTAATTTTTGCTTTTATACAACCGACGCAATCGTTTATCGGTTGTTCGATGCTGCTTTGTACTTAATAAAATAATATATATATATATGTGTCGTGTAATAAGAATTAAATTACATTATTATGTCTTAAGACTATTTTCATATTACTGTGTTATATAACGAACGTTTGATTTGATGATTTTTTATTTTTATTATTATAACTATTCCTTAAATTTGTTCCTACGTGCATAATTTTTTACTTATTGTTTTTTTTTTTTAAATTTAAATCGTGTGAATATCATATTTTTGTGAAATTTGTGTGATTCGGTTTTAAGTCGATTGGTGGTGTGCACCACGGTATCGGCTGAACTATATTAAGTTCTCTCTCTCTCTTATATTATCGTCATTTAAAATAATTAAAACATACATACGGATATATGTATCACTTGTGTTGTAAAGACCAATCGCGCGTGTTCCATACGCATACAATTAATTTTTTCGAAAGACATAAATATTACTCTCCTCCGCCCACCAGAGTTTGTAATCTCGCAAAATTTCGACCCTCCGAGAGATATTCGAACAATTGAGCCGCGTACAACACGTCTTTATTTTAATATTCAAACGCGTTATGCACAGGTTGACCTATACTTATGAAGGTACTTAAGTATAATATAATCATGATGGTTGTCGATGCGATTTTTATTATTTTTTTTTTTTAATACGCGAGTTTACTAGCCATTTAATTTAGATTTTTTTTTTATTATTATTACGGAAATTACAAATTACCGCATAAAAAATGTGTGTTTATAAATAATATTATATTATATAAATCAATCATAAATCGTAATGTAAATTATTGTATATTATTATTATTATATTTAAATTTATTGTGAAAATGTATTGTCTATTGTTTTTTTTTTTTTTATTTAAGATTTATATTATTATATACATTTCTGTTCGCTATCGATCGCCACAGCAGTGGCCGCCATCTTGAATTTTTTCCAATATTATTGTAACGAAAGAATATCTATATATATATATTTTTTTTAATCCTTTTAAATTATAAGACACGAACGATAGGTATAACTTAATAGCTTGTGTTATGTTAATAGATCAATAACAATCGTTCACGATTTAATAATTTCCGTCGACTCGTCATTCGTTCATCTACTGTCTTGTTTTTTAAGTTTCCTCCTCTGCGTTATTCTTCCTCCTCCCCACTAAACCGACAACGCACGTTAAAGAGCCAGTCGATTTCGAATAAATTTAAAAAACGACCCTTTACCGCGACCGGGTTAACCGTTTTCCACCTCGCGTGTTAGCTTACACAATTCGATATCGTTGCAGTCGCATGTTGTAGTTGTTGCCTATAATAATATATTCTGCGGCGCAATGTGCGATGATATAATCTACTCTACCTCGTCGTCGTCACCTCTGCCGTTTTTGTATGTTTGTCTTTTGATGTGTTGCGTAAATCATCTAAAATATTATTTTTCACTCATCGGCGTCATTGTGGCTGAGGGTCGTCGTAATATTTCGTTATCGTTTGCACCGTTTGAGCAGCGTTTCGAAACGTTCCGTGTGAATAGTAATCGCTGCAGGTAAACGACTCCCGACGAACGTTTAGGGTAAAATATTTTTATTGTTTTACATATTACATCGAAACGGTCTGGTCCGGTCGGACCCGTGGGTATAGGTTAGTGGGCTACTGCGATTTTCGTTTGATTTCACAATAATAATATTCTTTACCTTCCGCAGGCATCACTTATTTTTATCATGTCGGTACGTGGTACTGTAATATCATAATATTATATTGTAATAGCTTCTCGTCACAGTCTTGACGCTCGAACAACGATTTTCCCAAGTCCCCGTACAACATAACGCGCATTGTAAATAACATAATATTATATTATATTCAACCCCTAATATTATATAACATTAATAATAATAAACATTATATTTTAATAATTAACTATTATATAATATAAACATGTGTTACGTTTAAGTGTCAGCTAAATATATATGAACAATAAGATAATTATATTTTATATTTGTATGTACGTAGGTGGAACATATATATTTATTAAAATATTATATATGTCGTTATACCAATCGTCTGCCTCTATACTATATATTATTATCATGATATTTTTTTTCTGCTGAAATAAATGTTTTTCGCGATTGTGAACTAGCGGTTTTTTTTTCCTACTCCCTCTCGTCCTCGAAGTCCGTAGCCGTCGTCGTTATACGGCGGTGCACACGTCATTACATCGGCAAAGAAAAAAAAAGGAAGAACGAAGATCGCGACGAAGTTCAAGTAATTTGACAATGGTTTTTATATACTTATACGAGGTATCTGTAACTGCGTCAGTGGTCGGTAACGAGCTGGGGATCCATCACAACTACTATACAGAGGCTGCCTTTTTACTGGACTTTAACCACGTGACTGCTCGTGTGTACCTCTAAACTTTTTCGGTTACCACGTTTTGCATACCTATTTAGGTTGGTACTTTTCTAAATATTATTATTATTATAGTATTATTACGTGTTTGAATGTATTACGATGATGGTATAAACGCTCGACGGTTCAGTCGTTATCCGGACAGATGATGCGGACCGTCGAACACAACCGATCTCGAAAGGAATGGACTTCCATCACTATTTTTCAGGTATACCTATTGTGTTGTAGGCGTTACGAACCGTTCGTTTTGGAGAGACGAGTATAGAAACAACGAGTGGAAAAATATTTAGTTTCGACAATTTTGCGGTCTTAAATAGGGCTGCAATCTTAAGCAGACTAAGTGTGCCAAATTATGCTTCTACCGACAGGCCATATTTATAGGCGGAGGTCAAGGGGTCACTGAGCCATTGGATTTTTAATATTATGTAAGCTGACGAAAAAAACCACATACTTCAAGTAGTCCAGTTTTGATTTTGAAACAAAATTTTAGTTCGTTAACCTTCTGTCTATGTTTTGTAGGAAAACCTTTTTCATTTTGTTTGTTTTGTTGGCCCTTTAAAGTACAGTATAGGTATTTATATGTTTTTTTAAGAAACTAAGTGAATTATTTTGGAACCATACTACATAAGCTCCCCAAAAATTCGAATATCAAATTCCTTTAAGACATAGAGAAAAGGCTATCTAATTCAGATAATTCTTCAAAATTAAAATTTGATTAGTAGAAGTACATTTATTTTTGGCAGTTTATATTGTCATTATTCATTTTCACGTAAGTACAAAAATATTTCCAAGCGCCTTCGTGCGCTTATGTACGTGAGTTACACATATTTAAACCACACTTACAGCCAATAGTCATTATCATTTAAGAGTAAGACATAAGGATCACGGGTAGTGACGATAAGATTAGAAATTGCCTAAATGTTGCCCCTTAAGCAATGGCCCCTAAATCACTAAGACTGGAGTTAAATGCAGGAGTGCCATTTTTAAGTGGACTACAAAATAAATTAAATAATAGGCTACCTATCGTATAGTATAAGAGCGCTTGGAGTTGATGTCGTTCTGCTTTTAAAATATCACGCTGAGGCCCCTGCAAACGTGTCATTTTTAAGGAGTTGTGCTTAGGCAATTTTTTTGTTACTTCCATTCACTGCTCGTCCATGGTATGTGTACTGTGTAGTAAATGATCGATAGTGTGTGTATACCCGCCACCAATCACCCCCATGATACATATTATCTAACCCAAACATGCATACATAACTTAGTCATTAGATTAAAATATTAAAAATCAATTCATCTACGAGATATAACTAAACGCTTAACAAAAATATTTAAGTACTTCCAAAAGTTCGCTTAAAAAAAGGAAATATGTTTGAATGCATCCAAACTAGATTAATTTGCATCGGTTTTTGTTAGCACTTTTTCAATTTCGTCAAATAGCTGACGAAATCAAACACTTTATCAGTGTTTATAATAAATATTAAATTAAAACTATTTTAAATATTGAATATATTAAGCTCAGACCTATGCAAAATAAACTACTTCTTTATCAAATCAAAAACTTTTGCATTTTTTAAATTGAATCTCTAGAAGGACCATGATTTCTTTCAGTCATTAAGGTCGTTTTGGTGAAAATTGATAGGGTTTGCAGAATGGGCCTTAATAATAATTGTCTGGTTGCGTTTTTTATATTATGTTATAAGCTACACAGAACTAAATCCGAACTAAAATATTGCCAACCATATACTCAATAACTTTTAAAAAAAGTTTACTACTTATTTATTTGATTATAATAATATGAATTACTTTAACTTTAATTGCACCGTGCCCAGGTAAGTACCCAATAAGACTTATTTACTGTAAAGTTAGGTATTATGGTTTAGGGCTTGTAAGTAGTAATTTTCGTTGTTTGTAACTTGTCAAATGCTCTGAGTTTTTTTTTTTTAGACTCCCTACATTATACTATATATTATAACATTATACTTACATCGTTTGCGCTTTACAATTTACCAGAAATTAAAAAGGTAAAAATCAGTAGTGCTGGTTTACCTAGAAATGGAAAGTATTCACGATTCACACAGGTATTATGTACATTATAATTTATAAAAAATTAAGTAAATGCAATATTTTCCAAATTTTCATAATCCCAAGTGAAGTTGGAATAAACAAATTCACTGCAAAAATTATATATATGTATAAAATATTTTAAATTTTATTCAATACAAAATAATTTGTCTATGATACAAATTGATTTTACTCAATACGATTGTCTTATATAATATAAACTATTGAGTATTACTTTGATTTGTTTCATCTATAATAAATAATAGCATACTACTGAGTGCTTAAAAAGTTAAGCCATAAAATAAAAAAGGTAATCTATTCACAATGTGTATCGTATTCCACTCAATCGATTTAAAACCTTTTTGAATCTCGTACATTTTTTTTTACCTACGATTTCTAATACAATTGACATGATAGACCCGTATTTTTTTATAAATAAGCATCGAAAATCCAGATCAATCAGCTGGTCACCTAGTAAAAAACTATTAGGTTTCGTGTTGAGCTTAGGGTATGCAACCATAATATGTGATTTCTTGACGATATATTGTGTAAGCAATCAATCCTGACGATACTGCAGCAGTGCTATAGTATGTAGCAGGCCACAACTCACAAGGTCGGCACCTATAATATGATGCTTTGTAATGTTCAGTTATGTCTTGTGAATATTATATTATAATGTATATATCCATATCAATGATCACCTCAAGTGAGCAATCTAGCACCACACACGCACCGACGCACCTACAACACCATACGTTATATAATTATTATGTACTTATCATTATTTCGCCATAATAATATTATCACCTGCAGTAGTGTTAATTTCGATGGACAGCACGAATCGCCGTATAATATTATTGTATTTTATTTTGCGTGATTCCAAATCACCACTTTTTTAGTACATTTTATTATTATTGTAGGTGCGAATCGCCACACTATTTTGATTGTTATCTGCACTTGAAGTGCTCGCAAATCGCCACTCATTTTATTTTATTTCTGTACGCATTATTATAATGTTATCCGTGTGTTGCGTGCGTGTGTAATTATTACCATTTTATAGGATATAGGGACCAGCTAGCTAGACCGGGCACCACTATATTATATTGTACATCATATTATTAGTATATACCTACTTGAATCCTATACCTTTTTTTCGGTGTTGCTGTGAATTACATTATTTTTATCTGTTGAGTCAGATGGCCTATGCTTATTATTCTATTCGTACCTACTCTTTATGAGCGAGTAGCACCTTGAAATATACACGGCAACATTTAGTACTAGAACTCTTGTTATAAAGATCGGGCCACACATAGCGGTTGAGCCGCCCGACGAATTCAAATTATTTGATTTTAAACGCAACCTGCACCTGATAAGCGGTTCGACCATCCGAACTATCAAAACACATTATTGCGAATTGTCCGTTCACACGTCATATCTGACAGCCGACAGGTTACCTCTGTTCATTTTTTCAAAATTCATATCATACGTATAAAATATAAGAATTCCAATAGTGGAGCCTAAAGTTACTGTTAACTTTTATCAGATTTTGTAACTTTGAATTATAAAACTACACACTATATTATGTTTTAAAATATATAATTTTAATTTTTTCTTTAAAATTAATTCTACCGATATTTATTAAATTCCAGCTGATCCCGTGCACTTCGCCGCCCTTTAAAAATACCAACAACCACAAACCTGCATTCTACACACACCTTTGCCGCATAACGTAGATCATCGGTATTTACTCTCAAATCCTGACTGCTACTGATGCAGCAAACTACTAAACACTATTATGGTATTTATGATAAACATAATAATACTATAAATCAACGTCTCTCAAATTATGGTACGCGTACCACTAGTGGTAGGTAAGCGAAAGACCACAATGTGGTAGAACTGCAGAGAGTAAATACACGAATATTTTTCATTGTTTTTAAAATTTTGAACATTGAAACAATTAACAGAAAAGTTTAAAATAATATAAGTAATTATTCTATACAGTGTAGAACGTACATCATTATTAATTGTAACCAGTACTATAGGAAATACTTATCAATAAACTATATCGTCGACACGCACGGTGCAAGCACGTAGAATGTAAATAATTATTTCGAAAATAAAAATAAACTTCTTATTAAAATTAATACATTTGTATTAATAAAAAATAATTATATTTTAGTAATTTATTACCTTATTATTTGAAAGAAATTCATTAAGATTTTGAATAGTTCTATATCTAGACATAACGGTACGCGACAGATCAATAATATAAATGAGGGGTCCGAGAAAAAAAATGTTCGAAAACCGCTGTTATAGACAGTTTGTACACACGTCGGTCGATTTGTCGTAGTCTGATAGGTGCTCAACGGAGTGTTTCGCAGTTAGGTTTAATTTTAATCGATTGACACTATAATATGGCACATTATAATAATTAATAATAAATAATAACTGTACATTTGTTGCCATAGATAACTACATAATTCACTCTTATAATATAGTTGTTTATACATTGGAGTAAAATATTCATTGTACTATTTTAATCATATCTCTGTCCGCTTTTGTCACAGACAGTGTTAGAAAAAAAATAATTATGGAAAAAAAATATTTGAACATGCCGAGAAGTATGAAAAGCGCTTCTAGAATATCTCTGAGTTCGGACGGATCGTGGAAGCTTAGCTGTAGCAGCGGTGCATCGCTTAAGTCAGTCAGAGCCCGCTACGTGCCGGAAATCAGTCAAACTGTGGCTGCCACCACTGCCACTGACCCGGTCATGATGGTCAAACCCGTCGTCGCCCAATCGATTTCGGCCACAGCATCTGACGAATCAGACACTGACGAAGAGTCCAGCGACCAACAGTCCACCGATCTACAGTCCATCGACGAACCGGCGACCGAAGAAGAGCAACCCATCGTACCGACCAAAGACGAAGAGCCATCCACCGTACCGGTCTATAAGACTTGTGATCATCTGCCGCCGCGGGTTCGTTTGTCGCAGAAGTTATCCTTCAAACATTCTTACGGCAAAGACGTCTACGCCGATTTGCGATCTTTGGATGACGGCGACGTTGCGTATAAGAAGCCAGTCCAAGCGAAAGTCGTGAAACTGCAGCAGGTATGATTCCGTGGATAATAATATATGTATACATACATTTTACAAAGGTATAATTCTACTGTTGTTAAAATGGAGTGCTGAGTGACCACCATCTTTTTACAGTCATAATTTATATACTAACTAATAGTTTTGCGTCGCTTGAAGGACGACCTTTTGGTCTTTAACTATACCTGAAGGCTAGTGCTTTTCCTAGTGGTGAGGTGCTATATTTTTAAATTGTGTTTGAGATTTCTGTGGTCAATACAAGATGGCTATTTTTTGGTGGTTCTCCGTAGTATAATCTTTTATTAAAAAAAAATTAAGATAATCAGTTAAGTAATTTCGGAGAACATTAGCATCAAAGGTTTCAATTTTTGATTTTAAAATCTTAGATGTCCTAATTTATTTATTTAAAACAACTGTTATTTTGTTCTTCTCGGTTATAAAATATGATACATTATTATCACTAAATACTAATGATGATAATCATAAATTATGACCATTAATTAATTGCAGCATGGAAAATTGCAGTTATATAATTGCAAAGGTAACCTAAAATGAACAAAAAAAAAAAATGATTCAAACAACTTACTAATTTGCTGTATTGTACTTGACTCTTACATGTAAATCCCACATAACTAGGTACGTGCATCTCATCCTGGAGGTGACATGGGAATCCCTAAACCGAAAACATTTCGGTGTGGTGCTGCAGCGAACGCAAAAAACCTGAACGATGACAAGTTCTTGAAACGAGTGGCCTCCCCAGATACTAAGAACAACGAGAGACTCGTAACCGCTCGGCGCAAACCGGTGGTGGCCCAAAAAACGTTTAAAAATAAAAACAGTCAGATAAAAAACGTATATATGAGCCAGGCGAACAAGGTGTCGACGAAACCAGCGCCTTTCCAGCGAAGATCATCGTCTTACATCAACCGGCAGGCAATGCAAAGAGAAACCGATCGAATCAATTATAAGATTATGAGAAAATTGATCAACGTCAAGGCCGCGGTTTCCACTTTTCGTTAGTTCGAGTTGATGGGCTCGGGCAATGTAGGATGGTGGTCGTTGTAGTGTATTGCATTAATAGATTATTATTTATTCCAAAGAATTTTGAAAGTCGGAGTTCATATATTATTATTTAACTATATTATGTGGTATGGGTTTTTATTTTTTTAAACGTACATTGCGAACGAATGAAATCCTATTTTAAAAAAGACATATAGTAACATCGTAATACAGTGCAACGTGCTCCGGTTAATTTAATCTAACGATACGTCGAAACAGCGGCCTTGACGCTCATCAATAATTTGTTAATCGTGATTTAATAATGTAATATTGTTGCATTCTTCGGCCTTATAACTTGGTCAGTTAAGACGAAAGCTACAATCACGTTCTTCGACCATATAATAAACTAAAAGGAAGCGACTTTGGCAATTGTTGTCTTTGTCTTGCAAGTGCGCAACATAATGAATTTTATCCGTGGCAGATCCAAGTTGAACCAAGATTTTATGGTCGAAGAACTCGATTTTTGCATTTCCCTTGGTAAACTAAGTTTATATGGTCGAAGAAAACAACAATATTCAGTCACGATGAAAAAGTTATCGATAAGCGTTGTGGGAAACTCAAAAGTAGAATATAATATAAAATAATAAATTATGCAGTAGTCAAATTTATGAGTTTTAATGTAGTTAGCAGTATGCGATATATTGTGTACGTAAAAAGCCTAAATAACAGGAAACTTAGTTCAATGGCAAAAATACAAGTTGTTTTAACTGTTCACATCATAAGTGCAATTTAACAATAATAAGAAGTAAAATTTGAATATAGATATATCACACCACCATACGTCGTCGTGAGAACCGCATAAAAACATGTAAAGCACCCACTATTACTAGTCAGCATTCATCAAAGGTCTAATAAGCTTAGGACAGTGCATTTATTTATTTTGTGTTTAGGGGTTAACAGTAATAAAATGTTTTACTATATTATTAAAAAAATGTTTAGAAGTGTTTAATTATTTAAAAAATTATCTAACTCAAAACTACGTCTCAAGGCAACAACGAACGTGCTACGTCGTTGAAATAGTTATTGTGGTACCGATCGTCGTGTCCTTTACAGCGATCTCTATACAAATTTGGTGTGAGGTTTGGGGTTTGATATCGAATCAAATAAAATTGATTTTCCAATCTATAAGTAATGATTCGAGAACCACTGACGATCCACGTTCAGCATCGTCATTAGATTCACTCCAAATTGTGCTACAGTTCGGTTTCAACAAGCCAATCCAGCCGAAAAGTTTAGTTCAAGGGACAACGCAAAGCAGCACCAACGAGCAGTGCTTGTTAGCGGAGTGCAGTCCAAGAAGAAAATAAGTTCCAAACGGAGCCAAGCTGTTTCAAGGGCGCATTTTTTCACCGCCGGCAGAATGAATAATATGTAAGTTATTAATATTAATATATATTATGCCAAATCTGTTGCGAGTTAATAGTAGTACTTAGTAAATGTATACGAGTGTAAACGGGGGACAAGTGGTCAAGTGAAAACTATCCTGCCTTACTAGTAGTACCTGAGCCATTAGACTCAGATTTCACCGACCCATTAGAATCAGAAGTTAATGTGAGCACGTCAAGCGATACTAGTACAAACGTTTCAAACGAGTTTCAAGTAAGTTGATCGATTTAAATCAAACTATAAGGGGTCCCCTACTGCACGAAACTAATTATATATCAAATCAATTAAACTTTGTGACACCTTTAAGATTTCTTTCCGGAGGTACTCGAGCCGTTTAAGCATCTTTTAGTTCTAGGTGTGAGTTTGTTTTTTCTAAAATACCCAATACTATGAAACCAGATATTATTTTGGAAGCGGTGCTTACCGGGTTTAAGGGAAAATCTTTTGACGCGATTATAGGTACCGGGACATTTAGACATGGGAAGAGTTGAAAAGTCACCTTAGGACCATATTTAGTACTTCAAAATCGTTAGGTCACTTACGATTGCAATTAAATATGATAAAATGAATAATGGGGAATTGATATAAGGTGTCTCGCAGCGCGTAGAGAAGGCATATATCATTCGGTGTTTTGTAAGTGCTGTTCCAAATTCTATCGAATTAATTTTATTTGCACGTTATGTCAATAGTTTCGAAGATACTGTTCAATTGTGAGTTGAACAGTATCTTCGAAACTGACATAAAGCGCAAGTAAAATTAATTCAATAGAATTCGGAACAGCTGCATCTACAAAAACACTGAATGATATATGCCTTCTGTACGAGCTGCATGAAACCTTTTATCGATTCCCCTTTACCTAATTTCTTCATATTTAATTGCCATCGTGAATGCCCTAACGAATTTGATGGTCCTAAGGTGACTTTTCAATTCTTCCCATGTCTGAATATCCCGGTGCCTAATCCCGTCAAAAGACTTTCCCTTGATCCCGATAAGCACCGCTTCCAAAACATCTGGTTTTATAGAATTGGGTATTTTAGAAAAAACAAACTCACCCCTAAAAATAAAAGATGCTTAAACGGTTTGACTATCCCCTGCGATCTCGGAAAGAAATCTTAAAGGTGTCACAAAGTCTAATTGATTTGCAATAATATTAGTTTCGTCTAGTAGGTGACCGCTTATAGTTTGATTTAAATCGATCAATTTACTTGAAACTAGTTTGAAACGTTTGTACTAGTATCGATTGTAGTGCTCACATTAACTTCTGAGTCTAATGGGTCGGTTAAAACTGAGTCTGATAGCTCAGGTACTACTAGTAAGGCAGGATCGTTTTCACTTGACCCTCGCTTACACTCGTGTTTACTATGTAATACTATTAACTCGCAACAGATTTGACATAATATATTTTACTATTAATAACTTACATATTATTCATTTCTGCCTGGAGTGAAATAATGTGCCCTTGAATCCACTTGGCTTTGTTTGGAAATTATTTTCTCCCTGTATTGCACTTCGTGAACAAGCGCTGCTGGTTTGTGCTGCGTTCCGTAGACGTAGAACTGACCTTTTCGGATGGATTGACTTGTGGAAACTGAATTGTTGCTCAATTAAGCGTGAATCTCGTGACGACGTTGAACGTGGTTTGTCGCTGGGTCTCGAATTGCTTATACATTGAAAAATTAATTTTATTTCATTCGATATCAGACCTAAACCTCACTCTAAAATGGTGTAGTAATGGCTGTAAAGGGCACGACGATCGATACCACAATAACTATTTAAACGACGTAACACGTTCTTTGTTGTCTTGAGACGTAGGGTTGAGAAAGAGAGGTATTTTAAATAATTAAACACTTTTAATTATTATTTAATAATATAGGAAAACCCTTTATTACTGTAAACTTGAAACAAAATAAATAAATGCACTGTCCTAAGCTTATTAGCCCTTCGATGAGTGGGTGACTATCTTCTAAGTAATAGTGGGTGTTTTACCCGTATTTATGCGGTTCTCACGACGACGTATGGTGGTGTGATATATCTATATTCAAATTTTACTTCCCATTATTGTTAAATTGCACTTATGATGTGAACAGGTATAACAACTTGTTTTTTTTTTACCATTGAACTAAGTTTCCTGTTATTTAGGCTTTTTACGTACACAATATATCGCATACTGCTAACTACATAAAAACTCATAAATTTGACTACTGCATAATTTATTATTTTATATTATATTCTACTTTTGAGTTTCCCACAACGCTTATCGATAACTTTTTCATCGAGACTGAATATTGTTGTTTTCTTCGACCATATAAACTTAGTTTACCAAGGGAAATGCAAAAATCGAGTTCTTCGACCATAAAATCTTGGTTCAACTTGGATCTGCCACGGATAAAATTCATTATGTTGCGCACTTGCAAGACAAAGACAACAATTGCCAAAGTCGCTTCCTTTTAGTTTATTATATGGTCGAAGAACGTGATTGTAGCTTTCGTCTTAACTGACCAAGTTATAAGGCCGAAGAATGCAACAATATTACATTATTAAATCACGATTAACAAATTATTGATGAGCGTCAAGGCCGCTGTTTCGACGTATCGTTAGATTAAATTAACCGGAGCACGTAGCACTGTATTACGATGTTACTATATGTCTTCTTTAAAGTAGGATTTCATTCGTTCGCAATGTATGTTTAAAAAAATAAAACCCATACCGCATGATACAGTTAGATAATAATAAATGAACTCCAACTTTAAAAATACTTTGGAATAAATAATTTTCTATTATTGTAATGCAGTAAAACGACTACCATTCTATATTAAGAAGGAGGATCAAGAAGTTTCGCTAGTTCATATACAAACCGGCTTAAAATATTTTTCCAGTGTAATGCTTAGTAAAAATTTAATAATGTATAGAATTATACAAATAAATAATCGTGTTTTGCGTAATATTTTTGTAATTTTATTTTAGAAAATGTTTTGAACCATCGTCTATATTGACCAATCCGTCTATACCATATCTTTATTTTTGCCTATGATCGACAACATAATAATGATAGTATCTAGATGATCAAAGTGTATACTAGAAAAATCAATTTTTATTTTTTAGTAATTGGTTAAACTATTTACCCAATAAATTAAAAAAGTGATACATTCTCATGTATATTAATATTCGGTTATACTTGTTGAATTGGCACTGTGTGTTTTGTATACGGGATGGTTGGTAGTCGTAGCATATTTTTGTGATCTGTTAAAATAATGCTGTAATATTATATTTTGTTACATATTGTACAACAAGCCAACAAGGTAAGTCTTATTATTTTTCTTTTACGGCTATAACTATTTGTAGTTGTTACTGTCTTGTTAAGTATAGGTAAATAATAAAAACCTAAATGTAATTTACAAATATTATAACTAATACCTAACTATTTAATGGGGAATACAGGATACTATACCATGATAGGCACCTACTACTGCCCTACATTCTTTCAATGTAATTTATATATATCCAATATTTTTTTTACCTTAATAATTTATGATTTCTGGTGGGATACCTTCCCTCGTAGGATCACTGATTTCAATGGTAACAACAATTTATAGTATCTATTCAGTTTATCTATATTTTTTTATGCGGGTACCAAATAAAATGTGCACAATATTTTTTAAAATTA